TTCGCTGCCTGCTGTGCAAGCGTAAGGACCTGAGTTCGATCCCCGGTACCAAAAAAAAAAAAAAGAAGACTTCAGCTACCCTCTCAAAGTTTCTGTGGCCCCAAAACACTTAGTGAATTGGATTGGGTAAGTGATTTACACATTATATCATGGAAGCTTAGGTGAAAGAACAAAATTCCATACTGATTATTTGGTATAAGCCTGCATATGAAGGAAACTTTACAGTCTTATTTTATTTATTGATTGGGTTTTTTGAGACAAGGTCTCACTATGTAGTTGAGGCTGGCCTTGAACTCACTATGTAGCCCTAGCTGGCCTCAAACTCATGGCAATCCTCCTGCCTCAGCCTCCTGAGTGCTGGGATGATAGGTGTGTGCCACCATGCCTGGTTAACTTTACAGTCTTTAAACAGAATTTAAACTCAAATTTAAAAACATTAAACATCATGTCTGTACCAGAGATGGACAGTAGAAGAGAAAACAACCTTATTCTGGATAAGGTTCCTATTAACAACAAATTAAAACAAAATGGCCCATGTGCTTGCTTTGGCAGCACATATATTAAAACAAAATGGCCTTTTTCTTTAGTGGTCCTAATTAGTTTCTACAATAGAGTACCCAAGTTAGAAGAGATTCATTAACTACCTGAAACATAAAGATAAGCAGGCATCAAGAAAAGGTGCTTTAAGGCTGGGTGTGGTGGCACACCCCTGTAAAACTAACACTCTAGGAAGATTAGGCAGGAGGATTCAAGTTAGAGCCTAGCCTGGGCAACTTAGTGAGACTCTGTCTGGAAAAAAGAAAAAAGCCTGCTTTATTACAACACTGTAGAAAAACAGTCTAGAAAGTAAACCAATCTGACCACAAACTCCACAAAGGAGGGCTTCTAGTATTAATAATTCTGCCAGCAATTTTCAAATATGATTAAAATTGAAATCAAACAACAAAAGAAGAAAAAACAAAAAAACTTTCATATCTAAATTCCTCTTTTTTATGCAGAATAGAAAAATCAAGGGAACTGGATGGATAGTCTCACAGCCTAGATACAGTTGCACTGCAACAGGTCACAAGATCCACCTTACTTGGGACAGTGACTATTATGCCACAAGGATAGATGTCACACAAACACCAGCAAAGGGTTACAATGCCAAAGAGCACAGAAAAAATAGTACATGGACTGAGTTCCACTTACAACCAGTATCAAGAGAAAAGAGGGATAGCAGAAAATGAGCCCCAAGAAATAAGATGTGGACATCAGAGGCTTCATCAAAACATGTGTGTTGGAATAACATGATTGGTTCTGTGATGAGCATCCCCCAGCCCATCAGAGGACCAGGGATAGCTAGTCTTCCCCAAGGGGAGAAAATACTATTTTATTTGGTATAGGGTAAACACTCGTAATTTAACTACATGCATTTATTATATGAAAAACGTGACTGAGAACACGAGCAAGACAATCATGATTTCATACAGAATCGCTCTTTACACAATTAAATAACATTAAAATAGGTGGCTCAGAAAAGAGACAGAAGTAGATGAGCAGCTGCCAGGAGCTGAGGAAACTGGGAATGGGGAATGAAATCAAAAGTGTTCTGGAATTGGACAGTGGCGATGTTCGCACAACTTTGTGAACGTACTAAGATGTAGGTTTTAAAAGAGGTGGGCATTATGCTAATTCAAAGGAACAGATGTTACAGGGAGACCGAGAAAGTCAACAGGGCGGTAGGAGGGAAGTTTGGGGAGCCTGCCTAACAACGAAGGCGGCACCAAAAGTCTGCGGACGTGGCCGGCAAGTGTCAGGCCCGGGGGTGACGCCCGCCCTCAGCTCTCAGGGAGCTCAATTTTCCGTTTCAGGCGGAAGGAGAACGCCGCGCAGGGGCCCCGCCGCGACCTTCCCTTCCAGGACGCGATTCTGCCGGCTTCCTTCCACGTCGGCACAGGACTTGCCTAGTTCCCTAACTCCAGGCCCTCTCCCCGTCCAGATGCGACACGGGGCTTTCATCACTTTCCTCTCCCGCCGCCCGTACCTCAGACAGCTTTACCCTGCTCCTCGCCGCCCGGCCCCCAGGCTGTCCTCGCGGGCTGCTCCCCGGGGTTCCGGCCGGCTTCCGTACCTGTCTTCTGGGTACCACCGTCCCAGGGGCTGCAGGTAGGGCCGTCGCCCTGCTCACATCGGAGGGCCATGTCCGGGGGCCCGGGCCTCTGCCCGAGCCCCGGCTGGTGGCCCAGCCGTCAGGAGACGCGGCTGTGGCCGCGGGACTCGGGGCCCGCTCTGTAGAGGAAGACTAGGCTCCGAGGGCCCGCGGCGCGCAGGCGTGCAGGCGAACCCGCCCCCACGCCGACACGTGACACTCCGCTACGCGGGGCGGGACTTCTGCTAAAGCGCTGGGAACAGTCTGCGGAGTTGGTTGCGTCCGGACTCTCCGGCTTGGCGTTCTCACAAGGACCAGGTTTGGTCATTTTTTTGCTTTTATTATCTGTAAAATGATAGTGATTATAATAAACGTACTGAGCTCACAAGGTTATTGAGTTTGTGCATGGGTTACCAAGCGTATGGTAAAGATTGTTCTTCATAATTATGAGCTATTGTTTTTACTTGCATTTTACCTCCTGTCTCACTGTCCCACACGAACGGCTGCCATACTTACTACTTAAGGGTTTTATAGGGCCATCTTATAAGGCTTCGCAGGTCCTGCACTGGTTAATGCCAGAGGTCACCACTTAATGTAGCCGATTATTGGAGCTTTGCTTCCCTTGAGTTGTGAACAACAGTGGCCATTCATCCAAATAGCACCCTCGCTTATGAGGGTTTTGGTCTCCTTTCCAATAGGGTACTCATCCATAGAGTCACATCTCTTTCTTGTTGTTTTCCTAGAGTCACATCTCTTTTTTTTGGAGAATGTTTTAAGTTGCCCAGGCTGGCCTCAAACTTGGAATCTTCCTGCCTCAGCCTACCAGGTAGCTGGAATTACAGATGTGGACCACCATGCTCGTTTTTTAAAATTTCGTCCCCATTTTTTTTTTTTTTTTGAGACAGGGTCTCAGTTGGCCTTGAATTCGCTATGTAGCCCAGGCTGGCCTCAAACTTGTGGTGATCCTTCTTCCGCAGTCTCTGATTACAGGCGTATACTACCAGCATAGTCTTTTTTTTGTTTCCCCTTAAAGGTCTTCCAGGTAACTTTCATGAGCAGAAAAGATTACTCTAAAGTTACATCGATTTTTTAAATGAATGCTTTTTAAAACTAAGACATCAGCCAGGCATGGTGGCACATCCCTGTAATTCCAGTACTTGTGAGGCTGAGGCATGAAGATTATGAGTGTGAGGCCCACCTGGGCTACATAGGGAGCTCAAAAAACCAAAAACAAACCCTCAAAAATCCCCAAAACAAATATAATTAAGAAATCCCCAAACCTAATTCTTCCTTAATTTCAACTGATAAAACTTTACAATCTATTCGTAAATCTAGCAAATTATAAATTATTACTTAGAGAGCTCATTAATAAACCTAATTAAAAATCCTTTGAACATTTGAAATTGTGTTTACAAGTACCACTTTTTTTTTTAAAGTACTGGAGATTGAACCCAGGGCCTTACAAATGCTAGGAAAATGCTCACCACTGAGCTACATCCTCAACCTTCTAAAAAATTTTTATTTTGAGACAAGTTCTATTAAATTGCCCAGGATGGCCTGAAACTTGCAATCCTTCTGACTCAGCCTCCCAAGTACTGAGATTACAGGTTTGTTCCACCACATCTGGGTCATCTTCCAGTCATTGTTGATGTTAAAAGATGCTTAGTGCTCATTGAAGAATTAAATCATTTCAATTTGGGAATAAACTGCTCAAGCAATTTTGGTTACAGTATTTTTTCCCTGCTCAATTTATTGTGCTACCCAGGTGTGGTGGCACGTCTGTAATCCCAGCATTCAGGAAGCTGAAGCAGGAGGACTGCCATGAGTTCGACAACAGCCTGAACTACACAGTGAGACCCTGCCTCAAACAAAACAAATCAATTTACTGCGCTGGTCAGCAATCCACTGGATTTTGCAATTGGGAATGATGAGACAGTTACTCCTCTCTTCCCCATCACCAACATTCTAGTGCTAAATAGTTGTGTTCATTTTGAAGATTGAACTAATTCTCACCCTCTAAAATGAGGAGTGGCTGGCTCTTAGGGAGAGATGGTCAAACTATTGTCAATTTCACAGCAAGGTTCTCGGAAGTACTCAGTTCCTGTCCTGAGTTGGTACACCTTCTGACCAGCACATTGGCTAACAGCACTTCATCACTATGGAGCCCTACATGACAGGATGACGAGGAATACCAGTTACTTTGCCTCATTATTCTCACTACCTCTTATTGAAAGGTGCTCTAGTCATCAGTCAAGAATTTGTAAAATTGGGGCCTGGGATTTAGCTCAGTGGTTCCAGCACCTGCCTCAAAAGCACAAGGTCCCAAGTTTGATCCCTGGTACCAAAAAAAAAAAAAAAAGAATTTGTAAAACTGGGGCCAGGGATTTAGTTCAGTGGTGGGGCACCTGCCTCACAAGCGCAAGGTTGTTAGTTTGATCCCCAGTACCAAAAAAAAAAGAATTTGTAAAAATAAGCCAGTTGTGGTGCACACCTGTAATCCCAGCACTTGAGAGGCTGAGGCAGGGGGATCATCATGAGTTTGAGGCTGGTCTGGGCTATACAGTGAGTTCAAGCAGTGAGTTTAAGACTACCCTGAACTACCTAATGAGACTCTGTCTTGAATATCTCCCTGAAAAAAAATTTGTAAAACACCTCCTAGGCCAATAAAAACCAGCCTGTCAGGTAGTAATGTAAGCAACATGATGACACTCTGTGGCCTGGGCTTGGAGCCTGTAGGTGACTCAGAGCCTGCTAGACTGGCCTGCTACAATTTGGCTGAGAACACAAGCATCTTGGAAGAACTTGAATCACAAACATGGAGACTACTGAACCCCTTTGTTTGCTCAACAAATATTCATTATCCTTCCTGTTGTCGAAGCTTATGCTGGGTCCTATAACATCATGGTTTCATTCAGTGCTCTCCAGGACACCCCAGACTGGTAGGGAAGGGAGACTTTAGTTTAAAAGGAGACAAATTATAGGAAAGGAGGAAGAAGCCTACAGGGTTGTAGAAGCCAAGAAGAGAAAAACGTATCACATACTGGGGCAGAAGAGGGTGATGGAGTTTCCTGGGGAGATGTGTTGTAAAGAGGGACAAGCATAGTAAATTAACAACATAGGCAAGAGCACTGTGGATGGAGAAATTTTCCCATGATTATGGGGCTAAGAGAAAGCAAATCACAGGTAGTTCAATATTCTCATGGCACAGTATGAAAAGAAAAGGTGGACTTTGGGTGAGGGCAGATAAATGTGCAGAGGCAGGTTAGGTGGGGCTGGATGGAGCCAGCAGGGTAGAATCACAGTATATTAATGTTGCTTCTCAAGGGAGCACCAAAACTGTGCAGGCTGAGATGGGATATGAAGTGGCAGATGTTGAGTTGCTCAGCTTTTAATAGGAGCGATAAATACCCAGGAAACTATAAAGCTAGGCCAAGATGTCAACCAGGGGATAAGCTAGAAGTCTTGAATATGAAATATCCCAGAAACCAAGAGAGTTGTAAGATTAAGTGCAAGGGGCTGGGGGTATAGCTCAGTGGCAATGTATTCTTAGCACTTGTGAGGCCCTACATTTGACCTCCAGACTCCCACAAAACAATTTTGAGTGTAGTCTGTTATGGCTTGTACCTAGATGTTCCCCTAAAGCTTCATGTGCTCACAGGTGGGAGTTTCCAGAGGAGGTTGGATTTAGGGTGTAGGAATATTGATTAAAGGTGTGTGATAACTAAATTAATCCACTGATTGGTTTAGCATAGCTCTGGTTGTGGATAATGGAAGGCCCACCTGGGTTTGGGTAGCTCCAACCAATAGGCTTGTAGCCTGAATGGAATAAAAGGGAAAGGGAGCCTCACTTTCTGTCTGCTCTGCCATGGACTGTTTCTTTGCCATGCCACCATGCCTTGGAGCCAGCCAACTATGGACTGAAACCTCTACAAGTGTGAGCTAAATAAACCTTTCCTCCTTTAACTTTGGGGTTGGGTATTTTGCCTTAGCAACCATAAAAGTAAGACAAGGTAACAGGCAGATAAGATCAGTTAGGTCTGTGTGGTGGGGAGAATTCTAAAACCGATCTCAAGATACCCACTCCCAGTATAGACTGGATACACTCACACATGATGTAGGCAGGACTTGTGAGTATGGTGGGATTTCACTTTTGTGATTGTTATGCTACATGGCAAAAGTGAAGGGGTTTTGTAGATACAATGAAGGTCCCTAATAAGTTGAAAAGGAGCTGAAAAGCTCAGGTGGACTTTTACCTTATTTTGACACAGGTTCTTAAGACAGTAAGCTGCCCAGCCTGGATTCAAACTTGATTAATGCCTCAGCCTCCCAAAATTGTGGAATTACAAGTGTACATCACAATGCCCAGCTTTGGATGGATTTAATCAGGTTGAATCCTTTGGAAGAGGCCTTCTCTGAAGGGGAAATTAAAATATCACAGATGTTCTTCTGTTGGCTGGGAAGCAGCCACAAGACAGAGAATGGTAGATAACCTTTTAAGGGGTAGGGATTTTCGTCCTAAGCAAAGGAACTTTGGCCCACAGGGTTTTGGTCCACAGTGAATAGGTTACAAAAGGATATCAAGCCTCAGTTGAGATCACAGTCCTTACTGATATCCTGACTTCAGCCTAATGAGACCCTGAGCAAAGGGCCCACCTAGCCCACATTTGGACTGCTGATCTATGGAAAAGGAGATAATAAAGGTGTGTAATTTACATAGCAAGTGACTGAAAATCTAACCCAAAACAAGCACACACATTCTTCTTCATCTCCTCTCCAGTTCTCAGTCACTACTTTTTCATGTTAAATACATTCTCCAAAAGCCCTCGAGGATCACAGTATAACTGTAGGTAGCTCCAGGCCTCACACTTTATCTTAAGATATTACCTATCCTGATTCATGTGTGATATAAAGACCTTATAACAATCACATTTTATTTCTAACTTCCTGTTCTTCATGTGATTGTCATACATTTTACTTTAAAATTAGCTTCCTGGGTCAGGGATTTAGCTCAGTGGCACTATGCCAGCCTCACAGGCGAAAGGTCCTGAGTTCCATCCCCGGCATCAAAAAAGAAATAGATAAATAAATAAATAAAGTTAGATTCCTATCTCTAACCCCTCAACCACCTGCAGACAACCACTGATCTACTCATTACAGTATATGTTTCCCAGCATTTTATATGGATGGAATCATACAGTAGCTCATCTTTTTTGCCTGGGTTCTTTCACTTAGCACAATTATTTCAAAAGCAGCCCATGTTGTTGCATGAATCAAGTTTACTCTTTTATTGCTTAGTACTTTATCATATGGATATACAACAATTCATTTATCAATATTTAAAAATTTTACATCTGGGATAAGAACACAGTTGCTAATGTTTCTGTTATTTCAGTTGTTAGGAAAGAATAATCTGGCCCAACTGAAAGGATTTTACATTTTTAAATGGCTGAAAGAAAAAAAAAGTAAAAAACATTGTGGCATATAAAAATCACATGGGCCAGGTGTGGTAGCCACATTTGTAATCCCAGCACTTGGGAGGCTGAGGCAGGAGGATCACCGCATTTTGAGGCCATCCTGGGCTACATAGTGAGTTCAAGATCAGCCTGAATTGCACAGCAAGATCCTGTCCAAAAAAAAAAAAAAAAAGGAATTGAAACTCAGTGTTCATAGTTTTATTCAAACAAGTCACGCTCATTCATTTACCTCATCTATAGCTGCTTTCAGGCTACAATTATGGATCTTGATAATTGTAAGAGATATTTGACCTACAAAACCTAAAACATTACCTGCTCCTTTATTTTTTTTTTGCCTGCTCCTTTATAACGTTTGCTGAACCCCTACATTAGACTTCAGTACTGAAAACTGGGGATGTAACTCAGTGGTACAGTGCAAGCACCCAAATTAATAGGAGGAGGGTTGGCATAGTGGCATAATGCTTCTAATCCAAGCATTCTGGGAGGCCAAGGCAGGAGGATCACAAATTCAAACCCAGCCTGGCCAATTTAGCAAGACCCTGTCTCAAGGGCTGGTGATGTCAGTGAGAACGCCCCTGGGTTTAATCCCCAGTACCACACAAAAGAGAGAAGATAGACTTCAACTATTTTTAAGGTAATTCAGTTTAAAAGATTTTTAAAAATTACTTTCATTCATTCCATTTCTAGTGCTTAGTTTTGATTCGTAGAGGTGTAGCGGTGCATACCTGTAAACACAGCACTCAGGAAGCTGAGGAAGGAGGATCTCAAGTTTTCGATCAGTCTGGGATACATACTAACACTTGTCTCAAGATAAAGTTTTGTGGGCCAGGGATTTAGCTCAGTGGTTCCACTGCCTTCCTTGCAAGCGCAAGGTCCCGAATTTGATCCCCAGTATCAAAAAAAAAAGAAAGATAAAAACTTTTGTAGCTCCAAGTTTCTGTGTGGCCAGTTATCTGTCTAAAGAATTCCCTTTAGTATTTTTTTGTAGAGTAGCTCTTCTGGTAATGAATGTCTTAGGCTTTTGAGAAAGGCTTTATTTCTCCCTCATTGTCAAAGATATTTTCATTGATTATAGGATTCCAAGACTCTGGGTTGACAAGCTTTTCCTTTCACCATTGAAGTCACTCTGTTGTGCTCTAGCTTGCACGGTTCCCAGTAAGTCTGTAATTCTTAGCTTCCTCTTTCATGTCTTTTTCCTTCTCTGGCTAAGATTTTGTCTTAGCATTTTGAGTGATATGCCTAGTTTATGAATATTTGTTCTGCTTGGATACGAATTTGTCCTTAAGGAAATTCCCCAACTTTTTTTCTTTCTTCGCCCCTTCTCTTTTTCTCCTTCTGGAAATTTAACTACATACATAGATCCTTCGATATTGCCCAACTCTTGGATGCTGTCTCTATTTTCACCCTCTTCCTGTTGTTTCCACTGATCCATCTTTTTTCTGATTGTGTCAAGTCTATTAATGAGCCCACTCAAGCCATTTTCCCTCTCTGTTAGTTTCTCATTTTGAGCACTTCTGCTGATTCTCAGTTCCCATTTCTGTTGGGATTATTTTATCCCTTGGTGCTGGAACTGAATTCAGAGCCGAGTTACACCCCACCCAGCCCTATGACATTTTTGGTCTTGCATGTACTTTACTTTTTGTTAGGTCATGTACTGTATGTTATAGTTTTAAACATTAAATAGTTGCAACACGTGCCATATGACTCTGGTTCTGAAGTTTGCTTTCCCTCGTGTCTCTTGATTTCTAAGTGTTGGTGAAAGCTGGGTCTTGAGTAGATTAGTAGAGCCCAAAGGAAAGGGTTTTTATTTTTGCACTACTAGGTATTTAACCCAGGGCCTTTACACTAAGCTACATGCTCAACTGTTTTTAAAACTTTGAGACAGTGTCTCACTAAATTGCCAAGGCTAGGTCAAACTTATTATCCTCCTTAGCCTCCCAGAGTGCTGGGATTACAGGCATGCACCACCATGGCAGTTGGGAAAGGGTTTTTAGTATGGAAATGGACACACCTTCAGTTCTAGTAGGTCTTTTGTGTGAGGGTCTTTAGTCAGGTTGGGTTTAAGGTTTATTGTTGCTATGGGCATTCCTAATTGGACCACTGACTTCAGATTCCTCTCATGATACTTTGGACTGGGAGTGCAGGCTGCTCTGTCACAGGGGTTTTCCTATCTCAATGTATGTTCCACCTTGCACATTAGTTCTTCCATTTGTGCAGTGCCTCCAACAGGATGGTTTTTCTGTGCTCTTGTCCCTTCCACAAAGCTCCTTCTTTGATTTCTAGCAGCATTCTGATCTTTTACTCAGTGCTGGTTAGTTCAGCATTGACAGGTGAGGGTAGAGCGCTGTGCTGATTACATCTGTCTTGGGGTGTGGCCTCCTTAGTGTTGGTGTTATTGGGCAGGTAAGAGCTCTGGGGAGTGTGTACTTCTACCTGCCCATGGATAGTTTTGTTTTCTTCCAATTTTGTTTCTCCAGGCTTAAAGAGGTTCCACCAGGGCCACAGGATGAGTGTGGTGCTCTTCCCTCCAGATTCTAGCTTTTGTGCAGTAGAGGAGTCAAGGAAAGACAAGGTGATGTGCTGTGACCCTTTCATGGCAGCTGCTGTTGCTTTTCTCCAGATCTTTACTAGAGATACTGTGTATCCCCAGTGCAGTTTGTAGTGAGAACCATAGAAGGGGTGAAGACTCCTGCAATTCCATGGCCCTCTCTCACGTGTCTACTTTTGTTTATAGCAAGTCACCAGCACTTAACATCTTCTCTTATGCCTGTCTGTCCAGATTTGGAGCCAGCTGACTGTCCTGTGATTTCAGATGTCCAGACATCTCTTCATGTGCCATCTCGCAAACAGTCACAACTACCTAAGTCCCACAGGAGCAGTGCTGATATCCTTCCTGCTCCCAAAACGGGCTTTGTCAACAGAAAAGAGAAGGAATGACTGTTGGGAGACAACTGATACTGTCTGCAACTGGGAGTCTTTGAAAGGCTTTTAAACGAGATGAAGCGATTTATATGTCTGCAAGATTTTTCTGTTGCAGGGTGTAGGATGAAATCTGGAATCAAGAGAGAGATAGTAAGGCATCAAGATCAGTTACTTGCTGTGATAATACAGGAAAAAGAGAATGGGGACCCAGAGGAGGGACTTGGCAACTAGAATGGTAGGAAGTTGATGCATTCAAAATAAATATCCATTTATTAAAGTTGTTTACTTTTTACCAGAGTAATACATAGTTTTAAAAGTACATAGTGTTATTATGTTAACAATAAAAACATTTCAAAATAACATGCATATAGTACCACTTAGTCATTACTTCCATTACAAAAGATGGGCATTTAGTGCTCATAAACTGCTTGTCCAACTATCAACACTACCACACATACCCCAAATTCCCATCACTCATTCTTTACTACACCTAAATGTAATTTTGGTAAGAGCAGTATTCATTTCCCTTATGTATGTAAATTCTGTTCACAGCTGGGCCAGTGGTATGATGTTTAACTTCTCTCCTTTCTCAATAACTAGTTTTTGGTTTTAGTTTGTTTAATTTTTCTTTGATTTAAAAAATTTTCAAACATTTGAACTCTTAATAAATTTACCAAACATAAATACAGTTTAAGAAATAATTACAGGACTGGGGATTTAGCTCAGTGGTGTCGCTGCCTGCCTCACAAGCATAAGATCCCAAGTTTGATCCCTGGTACCAAAAAATAAATTAAAATAAATTTAAAAATTAAGAAATAATTACAGCATAAAAGCATATGTAGCCACCACCTCAGCAAAGGGAACACTACTAGACCCCAAAAGCTTCCTGTGTGCAGTGGGAATTTATGTTGTTTCTGACTAGGAAGCCTCAAAGGCTGATTAGTTTTCCAATTTTAGTATGTATGCTGCCGAAGCAAGCACAAGGCTGATTAGTTTTCTGTTGTTTGAAAACAAGAGTTCTCCTTGATAAACATATATACAGTTTCTTCTCTGTTACTATAGGCTCCATATCCATGGATTCAACCAAGAGTCAAAAATATTAGGGGGGAAATTATGTCTGGACAGAACATGTAGACGTCTGTCTTTCTTGTCATTATTCCCTAAATGGCACACAGTATAAGTTACTTACATAGCATTTATATTAGGTATTGTAAGTAACCTAGAAATGACTTAAAAGTTTGTGGGAAGATGTGTGTTGGTTAACTACGTAAGGGACTTGAATATCTGCATTTTTGTATCTTGTGTGGATAGGGAGGTCCTTGAACCTATCTTCCAGGGATACCTACAGCTGACCTATATACATACAACTCAGATAATACAAATGAATTACCCACAATTCACACTCCTCAGTTAAGATCTGGTGTAATTTTTTTATGTGGGGGGGTACTGGGGATCAAACTTAGGACCTTTCACTTGTTGAGGAAGGCGCTGGAACTGCTGAGCTACATCCCCATACCTGGATCTGGTGTAATTTTTTAAATGTACACACACACATTACTGAGTTGGTATGGTTGAGTACATTATTGGTTTTAATTCTTCACTACCCTACAATAAGACTATACACAATACCCTCTACCATATAAGTTCACACTGTTCTCCTAGCATGGTTTGTATATCCAGCTCCCTGTCCCATATGTTGGGCTGGGCTGCGCAACTTTGGCTGATGCAATGACAGCACATGTGACACAGCCAGAGGTTTGCCATGTGCCTGTGGGATTTCATTTGGCCTCCATGTTTCAGCAGTCTATCAGGAGAACATATCCTGGGCAGCTGCAACTTCAGCATAGGACCCAGAAAGAACCACATGAATCACATAAGCAGCCCAACCCAGCGGACCTTCCATCTGAAGAACAGCTGCTTGGCTGAACCCAGTCTAGATCAGCTGAACTAAAGGTGACCTAGACATCTAGGTGAGGACAAAGATGAGACTAGAGAATAGGAGCAAAGGCAAAAGAGAATTTTTCTGTTATTATTGGCAGGAAAGCTAGATAGGGATTCCTGGCTGCAAAGTTGTGCAAAAGTAGTCTAAGAAGTAGAAAAGAGCCAGGAGACAGATCTGATCCCAGATGTGGGTCCTGGCAGCTCAAGTTTGCTAAAGCCAGGTCCATCCTACCTAGCCAGCTCAGGCAGCCATTCCTGTAAGAATGTTTCTTTGACCCCCAAGAGTTCAGTGATTTTTCCTATTTGTTTTGTTTTGTTTTTTTGAGACAGGATCTTACTGTGCAGTTCAGGCTGGCATTGAACTCAAGGTGCTTCTCCTGCCTCAACCCCGAGTGCTAGGACTATAGGTATGCACCACCACACTTGGCTCCTATTGAGTTCTTTTGGGACACCTATCTTTTTTTTTTTTTTTGGAGACAGGGTCTCACTTCGTAGCCAGGCTGGCCTCGAACTTGCAGTGATCCTCCTGCCTTAGCCTTCCAAGTGCTGGGATTACAGGTGTGCTACTATGCCTGGCTTGGACACCTATCTTAACCTCATCTCCCCAAGGCAAACACAACTAATGTTTCATTTTCTTCCAGTTTTGTTTCCCTGGAGGCAGCCTTTTTAGTATAAGAGGATTGTTTCTTTCTACCTTGATTGGTCTTGAGGCTGTTACCTAGTTTCTAGCCCCTGAGGCTCATCTGTATCTATGATGCCTCGTGTCTTGGAAGGCCACTATTGATTTCAATACCAATCTACCTTCAGGATAAATTCTTTTTTTCTGCTACCTGGGAATTTTCATTTTCTTTGAAATTGCTTATATAAAAGGAAATGATGCTACTTTGGTCAGCACCCATGTGTTTGGACAGGAAGTGAACACATACACAAGTTAGGTCAATCTGACATGGTGACTAGAAATCTGCAATTTTCCTAAAAATTGATTGATTATGGTGCTGGAGACTGAACTCAAGACTCAAGACCACACATATGCTAGACAAGAGGAAGCTCTACTACTGAGCTAATTCCCAGCTCTTCCTAAGGAACTATGACAAGACAAAACAAGGTAATCACAGTTGGAATTGCCACCCCCATCTTGTCTTTCACTTTCCTATTTAACAACGCACATTTTCCCCATGGGCCTGCTCTCAACTCTTACTCCCCAGTGTTTAGCACAAGGCCAAGCACACAGACAACATATTTGTTCAAGGGTATCTTATGTAGCAATGACCCTGGAAAGAGCAGTCATGGTGGGTGGGTGAGGAAGCCTGGATGAATCCCTGGTGAGGAACGGAATGGGTGCACAAAATGGATTATGAATAGCTTAGTGGATCTATACTACATTAAGAAGTTCACCTTGGAGTTCTCAGAACTGTTCAATATACAGGAGAAGGGCCCTCTTTTTTCCAGCTCTGGCAACAAATATCTTTCTACATCTGAGACTAAATCACAGGGTGGGATTAGGAAGCCACTTAGCAGCTGCTACTTTTTTCCTTTTTCTCATTAGAGGAGCCAAGATAACTCTGTCAAAGTAGCTGATGCAAGACTGCTGCTGACTCAGAAATACTCAATCCCCTCAGGAACTTCTCAGAGAAATGGATTGGCTGTCCTATAAGCTCTCATCTGGAGGTACCTGGGGAAGGGCTTCTAACATCGTGGTCAATAAAAATCCCTAGTGATTATGACCACAGGGAGACAAATCTAGTGTAATTTGCTACAGTGAAAAAACACTTGGCTTTTAGCAGAGAAATTACAAATTCAGAGGAAAGAGTGATAGAAACTTTAGGGAAAGAGTGGCAGAGGGCAAGAGCAGGGCAATGCTGGCCCTTGTGTAAATCAGAAATTTGGAACTGGGGCCAGGGATTTAGCTCAGTGGTTTCGCGGCGCAAGGACCCAAGTTCAATCCCCGGTACCAAAAAAAAGAAATCTGGCACTCATATGCTGAAAACCTGTCTGTCACACTAACTGCACAAACTTTTCTACTAAAGACTTTATTGCCATCTCCTGGAAAACTGTCACAAAACTGCACAAATTTGTGGCATCCTTTTATTATACATCATCTGCACAACTATACAATTCAAAGCAAAAACCAACATTTGACTTAATTCTTATATATTAGACACTGTGTGGGGCATTTATCATCTACTCTGAAGAACTAGTGTATAAACAAGAATTTTTACCCTCAAATTTTATAGATGAAAGTATCAGGACTCCTGAGACATGGAGGAAGGAAAAAGTATATGACCAGGAATGGACACATAGAGGATCAATCTATACTGGTAATGGAGATTTAGCTTGGGCATTAGATTTATAGGTGTGCTGGTTTTCTTTATAATTTGGTACATGTCTAAAATATTTTACAGTAACAATTCAAATCACTTTTGAAGATTCAGAAAGGTTAAGTAACCGACTCAAAAATCACACAGATGAACTCTGATTAGAAGCAGGGAATTTGTAGTTCCACTAGGTTGCTTTTTCTGAACTGGTTAAATTTACCATGGAATTAAAGGAAGGCTATAACGTCTACTTGTCTGCATAGCTGGATTCCAGAACCAGGGTTATCTTGTGACACTATCATTACATATCTGACTTAGAGGACAGTGTGTATTCTGTATTATATACAAATGGTAAAGCAGAGATTTTAGCACTTAAGTCTATTAATTTGATCAGGACCATTGCTTAAGCCTTCAGCTTAGGATTTCAGGGCTCATTAAATAAACGTTTTATTTTCATGTCAGTACAGTCTGGCCTGTGGCTTTTAATTACAGCTGCAAACTTAAGGACAAGGTGCTAATGATCTTGAGATAATCTATATGACAGTATATCCATTTACTTATTTTCCATGTGTGTAGGAGAGAGTGACAGTAGAAACAGAAGAGGGAACTACCCATTAAGCACTGTAGTATTCCATTCAGTTTTTTTTAAATCCTGAGAGATAATGGACCAGCTTCTTAAAAAAAGATTTTTATCAATTTCAGTAAGATATGCATGGTCATCAAGTTCACCTGCAAATGGCAAGACAGACTGTTACAACAACAGTGTAATACAGTAAGTGTTCAAATGCTTAAGAGGGAAAACTCTTGTTCAGGGCAACAATAGCAATGGCACTGGGGAAAGCAAGAAGAGATGACTTCAGATGGGTGCTGCATGATGAAGGCTTTTAGACTCAGTATCTGAGCTGAACTGAGAATGACTTCAAAGTCCTTTGGCTAACATTTTCCAAGGCTCGAAGAGACCCTGGAAAGGCAGCTTCTCGCACACAGTCCAGGCATAGTGCTTAAAGCTGAACCAAATGGAAGAGAAAATCACCAGTGGGGAGGCAGGAAAGAACTGGTGATTAAGAGGTAAGTACTTAGACCTAATTCTAATCTGGGGAGAGAATGTACTGGTGGAAATTTGTAGCCAGGAGTGACAAAACTAGATTTTTCAGGATATGTTCAAATGGTCAGTTCTAACTACAACCACAAAGATGAAATTTCAAGAGAAAAAATTAAAATTCCCTAATCTGCCACTCAATTTCCAATTTTCTGTACTTTATAATTATAGTAATTAGTCCTACTCTTTTTTTGTGTTTGTTTTGTAGTACTGGGAATTGAACCTATTGTCTTCACAATGAACTACATATTCCCAACCCTTATTATTTTTTTTATTTTGAGACAGAGTCTCATTAAGTCACTAAGTTGAACTTGCTATCCTCCTGCCTCAGCCTCCCAGAGTGCTGGGCTTACAGGTGTGTGCACCACATCCAGCAGAGTAATCACACTTGCTCTGAAGGCCATTTTACAAAATATAATCCCCCTGTCTCTGATAATCACACTGTAGTAACTTAATACTCCTCTCATGTATAAAACAGGAATAAATACATTAGAATTAGCTGGGCACACACTTATAATCCCAGCAGTTGAGAGGCTGAGGCTGGAGGATCACTGTGAATTTGAGGACATAGTGATTTCAAGGCTAGCCTGAACTACACAGCGAGATCCTGTCTCAAAAAACCCCAAAAGAATACATTAGAATTAAAGTATATGTTAAGTTGCATGGGGATTTCAAATACATATTATACAATGCTTCCATGTGTCTAAACCTTGTCAACCCTCAATAATTTCAACTCCAATATGATGGTACCATAAAACAGTATGCAGTGAACAATTAAAGGAAAAGAGTCCACCAAAAAAAAAAAAGTATATATACATCAGAAAACCTTCTGGTACTGAGGATCCAACTCAGGACCTTGTGCTTGCGAGGCAGGTGTCGGGCACCACTGAGCTAAATCCCTGGTCCTATAAATATTTTAATACTAAACTTATGGAGACACCATGAATACAAGTTACCATTGGCCTCTACTATTACAAGAGGTGCTTTATGGGCCGGGGATTTAGCTCAGTGGTTCCCGCGCCTGCCTCGCAAGCGCAAGGACCTGAATTCAATCTCTGGTACCAAAAAAAAAAAGAGGTGCTTTAGCTTCCAGACATTAGTACAGAGAACTGCAGAAGTGTGCATACATTTTTTGATGGATTCTGTAGAAATTGGGATACTAGCATTTCCTCTAGCTTCAAATATTTTAAGCCTGTGGTTAAATGAGAAATAAATGGCAATTCAAGTCTATCCTTACAAATATTAATCATTTGGTGTTTATAAACTCATAATCTATTTTACCTGTTTCTAGTCCCTTTGATGGTTTATATTTTGGTTCACAAACACAGCACGTTCATACAAGCTCACCAGTACTCCAGGCCTCCAAAGACTCTGTAAATGGCCTCCATGGCTGAGCTACCTTCCACAGGAGTTATGTCATTCTCTGTACACTGGTTTCTTCTGCCGAAACAGTCTTCATGAGCCTTTTATTTAAACACCACTCAAACTTAAAAAAAAACAAAACAAAAAACCAGTGGCAGAGCTAAAAAAGATCTCAGAAGGTAACTCACTTGGTCTCCCTTGCCCAAACATACACAGTGGTCCTGAGGATGGACGGATCTTTGTCAAGGAGTGTACTGTGAACTAACAAGAAAGTAAAGACTAAGACTCCATACCAGAGGGCCAGGGGAATTAGATTTATCAAGGCCCTAATGGGTGCCAGGCTTGATATACACTCAATCCCAAGAAAACAGTGACCCCAAGTAATAGATGAAACTAATTCAGAAGTTGCATGATTTGCCTAGTAACCAAGTGTGTAAAAGAATGGCAGGAATGAAACGAGTCTTGTTCAGCAACATAATGTTCCCTTCACTGTTTCCTCCACATCAAAAACTTGCAGATTTTAGAGGTCCTTGACCAATCTCAATCCATCCCGCTTAACATCTCCATCAACCCAATAGTAAATTCAAATCATGTGAAAATTAAGCCATCTACCACACGCGGTGTCGGTTGGAGAAGCATATTGCTCAGGCTTCAGGGACATTTCATTTATTTAAATGTTTTTATTAAAAAAAAATTAAAGACCTTCATGGCACAACTTCTTCCCAGCACAGGTATGTTTTAGTTATACCAATTACAATACAGTTACAACCAGTAAATCAAGGGGGGGGGGAATTTCTGACTTTAAACTTAAAAAAGAGGGGGGCCACTTCAAACAAAGTTAAAAAATACTTTTGAAAACCTTCCAGAGTAACTGCCAACATAGCTGTTTTATATTGGCATTCCATTTCCTGCCATTTAAGCAATGCAGACACAGGTAGTGCTGAGAAATAGTGTCCCAATACAAGGTATACAGATGAGGTAATTTACAACAACACAGAAGTTGTTACTCTGTAAACCCTTGGCCCCCCTCCCCCATTTGGATCATTTAAAAACTCTCTCCATGCTTCTGCAGTGACTCTCTAGCATAAAAACAAAAACAACTTCTATTTATTTCAAAAGGCTCTTGGTTGCACTTCAGAGTCCTCTGCATACACCTTCAGTTCTTGCAAGATCTGATGGATATAAGTCCAGCTGTCTGCAGCTTCCACATCAGTCTCAGCTACACCTAGATTTCTGAGCTACAAGACCAGGGTGGGAAATCCATCTACAACCCTCCTCCCTACCAAAAGAAAGATTTCATTAGTTATTAAGTGTCCTGTTCAAATCACAATCCAGTGCAAATGTAATCACAAATTGCATCTCTGGCACATCTGGTGCTTTTAGCTTCTGCACAAAGTCAACATGGTAACCCTCACAGCATTCTAGGGCATAAAAGGGTAAAGTACAATAAACAGTCACTGTAAGTGGCCCCAAGGAAGAAAATCACCCTGCCAGTCAGAATGTTTTCTCTTCAGCTCTCCCTACAGTTGAGAAGCATACAAGAGGAGGTGTTAGCTTCTTCTATAAAGTTTACCACTATATTCCCTAAAGCCACCACCTTGATAAAGTTACTAAAATCAAGATGGGTTACAAAATTAGGTACGTTCATTAAATTTAATTCCCCAAACAATTATGTTTACCTATGATGCCCAGCTGAGAAAGGCCTGTGAATCTATAAAGACAGGAGAATGGGGAACTAAGATTTTAGGCCTTAAAATGTCGGAAGAATATTTCCTAGTCCCCATAAACAGCTACTGTAATGAAGTAAGAGGAGAAAATACAGAGCTGATGATTTTGCTATTGTGCTTAAAAAACTAGGCTTCCTCAGTGAAGCACCTGATAAACTTAGGTGGTTGGTTTACAGTGGAAAGTCCACTTTATAAACACACACACACAAAAACTGGCAACTTTTTCCATCCCCAATCCCTGCACTGCTGAGACACAAAATGAGTTTTATGGCAAAGGATCCTTAATCCCCAGAGACACTTTGGCTTGTGGTGCTTTTTTAAGGCCTCTCTGCCCTGCCCGGTACCATGGGTCGAACGAGGGGTGTATACAAATGGGGGCCTTAGGAAGCCTCCACGGTACAGGGCTGCAGGCCCCTCAGATGTGAATGTGACACCCACCCAGCGAGAATTACACAGGGAACTTAAATCTAACCTTGATAAATAAAACCAAAAGTTTATTTACACCGAAGAATTCCAACACTGGATCTTTCACATATGAAGGACAAAGTATATATATACACACAGCAAAAGGTGGCAAGGCTGTAACAAGAGTTGATAGTTTCCCATAATTACAGGTCTACCATTTCCATTTCATTGGAGATAGTGGCTCTGCTCCTGCCTCTCAGATACATTTACAAGACTGAGGAGCAGGTCTTCTCGCTGGATGGCATACAAGGGAAGGAAAAGGTAGGGGGAAAAGAAGGTAGCTTAAAATGAAACCCAGTGTGGCTGCATCTCCATTAGCTCTTAGATTTGCTAGCATGAAACCTATATAGATAATGTTTCTTTTTCTTTTGTAAAAGAGCAGTAAGTTATGCCCAATAACTGACTTCAAGATGGCCAAGCCAAATTGAAAAAGATTTTGCCTTCTCTCTCCTACCAGCTATGGAGCACAACATGTTGAGACATGAAAGGGAAAAGGACCAAGGTAGGAGCCTCAGAGGGATGTTGTCACAATTTTAAACTAAACTGACACCAAAATTATAAATGAGCTGGATTAGGATTAGGTCAATAAAACATGATTCATACTGAACAAATGCTTTCAGAATCTGTCTGCCTTTTGGGTAGATTTTCAACATCTCCACGTAAGTACGACACGCTTCCACTAGAGTCGCCAGGATAACTGCACTGAAGCACTTATGGAACAAATGACTAGCAGTATACTGCTCTTACAGATTGGGTCTTCCCTGCCTCTTTTCCATCCTGCCTCCTTCCTTCCCACCTCCCTTGAGAAGCTACATTTTTGTAATCTCTGGAGAAGAGCACGAGATACAACCCCCGCCCCTTCCTCCCCAGAGTATAGGATGGCGGGGGAGCAATGGTAGGAATGGGAAGAAATTTCCACCCAAATGCAGCAGCCAGGATTGAGGCTGGTTTATATTTTGTTCTTTAGTGATGAGAAACTGAATTTTGAAGGGGAGAAAAAAATTTGTCCATGAAATATTCCACCTGCAGGTAATCTTTCAGGGAATCCCCTGAGTTATGAAAAGTTCAAGTTAAAAAAAAAAAAAAAGAAAAGAAAATCAGCCTATTATAATTTTTTTTTTTTTATGACTGAACTATTATAAATCCACAAGCAACGGTTCAGACACGGTGCTTCTGAAGTGTTTCACCCTCCCCGCCAGGCGCAAGTTGCATCAAGGAGAGGGTGGACTTCCCCACCTCTGCTCAGGCATCAGGAGAAAGTTGGGGTCATTACTGCTGAGCGCCAGCGGCAGCTGGAACAGGCATCCCAAGGGGGTTGGCAGAAGCAATCACTGGTGAGCCTGCCAGAGGTCCGAGGGGTGAAGGGGTTGGCACTGAAGAAATCCCTGAAAGAAAAGAGCTGACAGTAAGCCAGACACATCAACCATGCCAATTTTAGCCACCAGTTTTTCATAGGCCTTATCTCAAAAATAAAACAATGAAAATTCATTCTTTATTGAGGTTTCCTCTTGGCCACATTTTTACATATATATTTAAAGTACAATTCTTGTAAATTCAAATTAAAATGACAAGTCCTCCTGAATTTAACTTGGAGAGTTTGAACAGTTTGTTTGTTCAGGGTAAACAGCTAGTAAATGGAGACTATGCTTGGATTCTATCACAGGCCTGTCTAGGGTAGCACAGTGCAATAAACAATCTGCTCTGGAACCCGTGCTTTCTAATGTGGTCACCACCAGCCAGTGACATGTAGCTATTGAGCACCTCTAACGCAGCTGGGGCAACTAAGGAACTCAACTTTTATATTTTCTTCAATTTTTATTAATTATATAGTCACTACCACACTGAAAAGGACAGGACGGCAGTCAAAGCGCACATGCTTTCATACCATGCTGCTCTGAAAGGTGGCAGCTCCCAAAATTACTAAGTCATTTTGAGTGAGAAAGAAGTACTTCCCACCTCCAAGGCGAAGTGGTGCTTTGAAATTTATTTCCAATAATTCCTTCCATTTCTCTAGTTAACAGAATTATTTTTAGCTTGCCCTCAATCACCCAGTTATTAAATTTTTAAAATGCTATACAGAGTTTGGGTATGATGGTGTATACCTATAAACTCTGGAAAGCTGAGGCAGGATGACTGTAAATTTGAGCCCAATCCCACATAACTGAACAATTTAGTGAGACCTTATCTCAACGCCTCCCACCCCATCCCCGCAAAAAAAAATAAAAAAGCCCCACTACTCCTCCTTATATTCAAGGCACATATTCCAGGATACCTGAAACTGCAGATATACTATGTTTTTATCTTAATGCATAAATGACACAGTAAAAGATCAACAATATAGAATTAGAACAGTATATTGTAGTGAAAATGATGTGAATGTGTTTTCTCTTTAAAAAGTCGTGACAAATTATTTTTGCACTGGAAGTAACCAAAACTATGGATTAGGGGGTCTATTTCATATTCATATAGTTTAAAATACAAAAGGTTCAAAGAATATTCAAAGAAAAGTCTGTTGATTGGCCAATTTAGGGCAACATTTTTGAGATGTATTCAAGATTTTGTGTCTATACACGAAAATAATTTTGTGAGAATATGTATGTAAAAATCATATATAAGAATGTGATTATATTTACATACTCCTGTTCTTGCACATGGTTCTTCATACCTCACCCTCATTTACATTATTTTAGAGCTAGAGCTCTAACAACACCGAACACTTAGTCATCTTTTCTCTGACCACATCATATTCCACTGAATAGGTGCCCCATAAATGATTTAAATCAGTTTCCTACTGATAGCTCTTTTCATTGTTATGCTATTATAAATTAGGTTGTGAATAAGCCTGGCTATATGTCATTTTGCACACAGGAAGGATACTGGAGGATAAATTCTAAAAGGTAGCTGGTTCTTAAAAAAAAAAAAAAGTATCATGGCAGTAATGAAGAGTATCTGAGTACTACCCTCATGACAAGTGTACCCAGTTGGGTGCTGTCTATACATACAGTCCTCAATTTCTCAACGTTTCTGAGGGCTTCTCAACTACTGTCATTCTAAACTGTGAGATGAAAAGATTTCTTTTAATTTTTCATAGCTTGTTGGGACTTGAAGCACCTTACAAGAAACTTTTTGTTGGGATGCTGTGATTCTGATCTGAAAGAGACTGATGACATTCTACTTAAAGATAGTTAAAGTAGGGGCCAGGATCTAGCTCAGTGGTTCCCCTGCCTGCCTCACAAGTTCAAGGACCCGAGTTTGATCCCCGGTACCAAAAAAAAAAAAAAGACAGCTAGACTATACTGAGTGTCAAAATCACCTTGAAATCTGGTGGGAAAAGCTACAGTATGTCACTGAGACCCTACAGAGAAGTAAACAAGAAATGAGGTTATGAAGGAGGGACAAAATTAAATCTAACTGACTTCAACTTTCTTTTTTGAAAAAAGGAATTAACCAATGAACTGACCTGACATCATGTTGGCGCTGCTGACAGGTGTACTGCCCCCTGGCATGCTAGATGAACCCATTCGAGCCTGGTCCTTCACAACAGTATCTAGAAAAGAGAAAAGTTAGATTCTGTTTTGCTTAAAAAAATTAAGCTAATTTGTCTAGGTGGCTTCAGAGTAGCTACCTTCAATCTTTGTGTTGTATTTCTACTTCATTGTTATTTCTGGAATCTAAGGTGGCAATGGCCTTCACCATGAATTACACTATTAGCACAAAATAGATATACCTTTCCTATGCAATTGGAAAGGTCAACTCTGAAACCAAATGGTAGGAAGATGAGGTAATTATCCACAGTACAGCTAATTTAATATGAAGCTGGTGGGGGGCGGGGATGTAGCTCAGTGGCACCACGCACGCCTGGCAAGCGCAAGGTCCTGAGTTCGATCCCCGGTACACAAACAAACAAACAAACAGAACCCGGTAAGAAAAAACACACACAAAAAGAAAACAAAGCAAAACAAAACAAAAAACAAATCAAACTTGTCATGCTGGGGTTTAATGGAGACAATACAATCAATCTAACCAGGTGAAGACAGATTTATTATTAGAATGAACTGAATTTATTTATTTTGTTTGACACAGGGTCCTGCTATGTAGTTCAGGCTGGCCTCAAACTAAGAGATCCTCCTGCCTCAGCCTCCTAAGTGCTGGGATTATAGGCATGTGGCACCACACTCAGCTCAGCATGAACTGATTTTAGTGGTTTACAGCTCAGCTGTTCAAAGCATGGTGCAAAGCTATAGGTCTGTGTAGGTTATCGCTATGACCACAGACCTCACTCTCCATCCCAATCAGCCTGTCCATTTGCTTCAGGTACAGGAAACTGGGCAAGAGGGTAAGTGATTCAGTCTAAAACCATCCTACAACTCCCCATGAACAATCCAATGATGAAGCTGGCATCATCACTGCCTGCAGTGGGTCTAAGTGGCCCATAAGACGGTATACTTAACTATACTCACTAACCTAATCAAGGTGTTCATATAATATTGACACTTGTAATTCTCACTGGCTCTCTCCAATTAATGATTACTAGAGACAGAACAGACATGGGAGATTTATTTAATTCAACCACTACACACTAGACACTAAGAAGCATCGCTCACATAGAATTTTATAGGTAACAATCCTCTGAACAATTCTGTACAACAGTTGATAATGTTTTTCTTATGCAAAGAAACTGACTCAGTGCAGGTAAGGCAACTTTGCAGTGAGCTAACAGGAGCTGTACTACAGCTCTATTCTACAGGACTCTAGGCTGGAGCTTTCTTCACATCATGTTCTCCCTCACCTCATACAGTTTGCAGGGCAGTGTGGGAGGGCTTGCCCAGGGCTTGCCAGGCTCTGGACAGTTGGACTCACAGAAATAGGGATGTTCCATGGCTTCTCTTGCAGTGAGCCGTGACTGGTGATCATATCGCAGCAGCTTATCCAGGAAATCCAAGGCCTCTGGGCTGACAAGGTGCTGGTTTTCACTGTGGACAAAGCGTTCCCATCGCTTACGAGAGTGTCTGCAAGACCAAATGAAGGAATGAAAAATGGGCCATCTGGGGCAGAGATTCCCAACTTCATTCCTATGTATCTTCCTTAGCGGCTAGCTCAGTGAACACCAGAGGTAAAATTCCAGCTAGTAATCTTGTACCACTCTGCCACAGAGGGCATAGGGTCTACAAGCTAACTGGAGACTGGGAATAGTAGTGTATCATAAGAGAAATCTAGGTCCTCTCAATTTTAAGAACTATAATTCATTCGTTACTTTATTGGATGTGAATGCTCCTATGCAGCAGGGAGGGTCAGGCATCTAAGCTAACCAGACTCTTTCACACACACACAGACACACACACACACACACAAACACACACACACACACACAAACACACACACACACACACTCCTGTCATCTCTGCCACTTGACCAGCAAAGTCTGCATAAGGAAGGTTCAGCTCCTGCTAAGCAGTTAGTATGTAAGTATTGTGCCTAGTCACTAACATCAGAATAATTTGTCTGCACATTAATCTATTTATTTCTTATGGGGAGGCATCTGTCATTTAAAGAAGCAAGCCAAATCAAAAGAGTTTTATTTTTTGGCTACAAGGGATAGAGCCTTGACATTGAGCTACATCCCTAGCCACCTACCCTATGTTTTAAAGTTTTGAGATAGGGTCTTGCTAAGTAGTCCAGACTAGGTTCAAACTAGGAAACTTCCTGGCTCATCCTCTTGAGTAGCTGGAATTAGAGGTATATGCCACTATGCCTTGCTAAGATTCTGATTTCTGACTCAACTGTAACCCTCTTTCAGAACCTGTATTTCATTAACTTCACAGGAACCCTTTGACTATAATGTGTACTCTTGCCTGCTTAATACAACACCCTACAATACCAGACCCACTCTCCCATTTTAGCAATGTTGACAAAGAGAATATGACTACTTTGAGGACCCCAAATACTAGTTTATGCCCAAAGGGAGTCATAGATGTACAGATTTTGTATGTATGACTTACCTGCCCAAGATATCATTGAAACGGGGATCTAATTCAATGTTGTATTTGTCAATATAATCATATAAATCTTCTGTCCCCAGAACCTTGGCTATCCTCACCAACTAGTATTGAAGAAAGACAAAAACCCACACAATATTCACATTACATGATTAAATCAACAATTAATCATTACTGAATTAACAAAAAGGCATCAACATGCCTCCAAGTATGAATGTTATCTACTACCACTTTAAACTTCTTAGTGTGGCAAAAATGGATTTCCACATAAAAATCCCTAACTCAATGCATTATGAAAATGTTATAAAGAACAAATAAAATGCTTTATAATATGGTCCCTTCTCTTGAAATGTCCCCATAACGGTCTTACTTCTTCCACCCTCAAAATCGAAATGAAGATGTCACTTCTTTTGGGAAGCTACCTTTCCACACTCAAGACTACTCACCACCACTTCCTTCTGTTCCTTGTCACACTTCTACTCTGACAAAGTTCCTGATCTGTTCGATTCCCTTACAGATAAGACCTTTTTCTATATCCCTCAGTTCAGCTTACCAACTGACAGTTGCTGACTGAACTTCAGGTGGCAGTCTTTGAATCATTAAAGATAACTACTATGTTCAAAGGGAAGAAGTCAACAGGACCTCCACAAAGTCCTAGAAACTTTCCAGGTTCTCCTGAATGAAACAGCCCCTTGATATTCAAAGGGGAAAGTAGAGTTGTTTTAAAAAATACCACCTGTATTTCTACGGATATATAAATTCAGCCATATAGAGAGATTCAAAGGATCACAGAAGTAGCACAGAAACATGTTACAGAAAATATTTCCAGGGCTGGGGATTTAGCTCAATGGTGCTCCACCTGCCTCGCAAGTGCAAGGTCCTGATTTTGACCCCTGGGACCGAAAGAAAATATTTCCAAACTTAATAAAAGTTCATGGATGTTCTACAGTATGGCACTATTCTTTATAGTCTGGATGACATTCCGTGGTTGTTCATTTGAAATATTATTCTTTGAACTGCACTCATGCTTTATAAAATATTTCATGTCTATTTCACAATAAAACAAGCAATGCAAATTTAAAAGACCACGGTAGGTAGGGAGAACCAAATAAAGTCTGATTTCAAAAGGCTGAACTGATAGGTCCCAGAAATACCCATCTGAAGATCAATGTCAGGTAGGCTGAACAAACAATGATGTGAAAATTATTCCCTATCCTATGAGATCCTGAACAAATAGGGTGGGTGGGAGGAGGAATCTGTATTATATCAAGATCCACTGGGGTTTCTGAAGAGTGGGCAAGTCTTGCCATCATTACATTAGATAGGTGAGTTCCTTATGGGAACAATATATATTACCTGATCATAATTGTCATGTCCATGGAAAAACGGCTCCTTCCGGAAGATCATACTTGCCAGCATACAACCCAAACTCCACATATCCAAACTATAATCATACATCTACATTAAAGGAAATGCATAGTTATCATATATGAATCCCCAGGGTTGTCCCTTCAAAATAAAAAATAACTTTTCGCTGGGCACAGTGGCATACAGCTGTAATCCTAGCACTCTGAGAATCTGAGGCAGGGGGATCACAAATTGAAAGCCAGGAGTGGTGGCCCCCACCTGTAATCCCAGCACTTGAGAAGCTGAGGCAGAGAATTGCTTTCAGTTTGAAGCCAGCCAGGGAAACATAGTGAGTTCAAGACTAGCTTGAACTACATAGTGAGACCCTGTCTCAAAACAAAAACAAATAAAAAGAAATAAATCAAGTCAGCCAGCCAAAATATCAATAACTCCATGTAGTTCTTTTCAGTCTTCTGTATGTTCTTTCATCCAGTTTATAAACAACTTGGACATACGGCATTGAACTGTTTTCACTTATGCAAGAAAACCCCCAAACTGTTCATTTTATAAATGTATTAGAATTTAATCTTTTAAGTTTTCTATATTTAGGACAGTGTTTTTGTTCATCACTATTTTGAATTAATGTTGTAAGGAATAAATGTAAATTGTGTTTTTGGGCTTAAGATTACATTCTTTAGGTCCCAGAAATGGAATTTTTAGGACAGAGTAAAACTACTTTGTTTGGTTTTGGTTTTTTGACAGGGCCTTGCTTTGTAGTTCAGAATGGCCTTAAACTCTCTATGTAGCCCAAGCTGGCCTTGAGCCCACAGCAATCTTCCTGATTCAGCCTCCCAAGTGCCACCTTACCTGGTAGATTTTTAGCTTTTAAAAACACATGGCAAAGGGCCGGGGATTTAGCTCAGTGGTTTCACAGCCTGCTGTGCAAGGACCCAAGTTCGATCCCCGGTACCAAAAAACAAAACAAAAAAAACCAAACGAACAACAACAACAAAAAAACGCATGATAAATCTATCAGTAATTTTAAAAAAAACGTTTTTGGGGCCGGGGATTTAGCTCAGTGGTTCTGCCACCTCACAACCACAACAACCAGAGTTCGATCCCTGGTACCAAAAGAAAAAAACAAACAAGCGCCAAACTTTTCGTTGAGGGGGGTCTTTTTATATTTAGGATACAATTTAATATACAAAGGAACAATTTTGGGTTTATTCTTAAAAGTTGGTTAAGGCTAGCTTGAAATTCAACCAGTTCTGGAATTTCTGACTAGAAAAAGTATTTTGAGTGTTATTTTTTTCTCTTGGGATAAAATGCCGATTCATTTATAGTCTACTGACATAATGCAACATGAATTATGCTGGATAAAATGATTTCTATATTATATTTCACATATAAGGAACAGCTATGAAATGTGCATAAATGGTTTGCTTAAAAGCACAAAGTGACTTTTTGCAAATTATGGGCAAAATAAACTTTGAACTAAAACTGTACTTGCTCTTCTCACCTGATAGTCTACAAGTAGCTCAGGGCCTTTGAAGTATCGGGAAGCAACTCGGACATTATATTCTTGACCAGGATGATAAAACTCAGCTAGGCCCCAGTCTATTAGCCGTAGCTGAAAGAAAAACAATGAGAATAAACCATGAACAATTTTATCTTCCTCTAAGCTATTATCATTCTGGCATTAAAATACTCTTAAACTCCACCAATGTCACATTAAAGCTAGGTGTGGTACTGCAAACCTGTAATTTCAGCACTCGGGGAAGCTAAGGTAGAGGATCACAAAGTTCAAACCCAGCCTGAGCAACTGAGACTCTGTCTCAAAAAAAGGCCTGGGGATGTAGTTCAGTGCAAATCTCTAGTACCCTGTGGGGTGGGGTGGTGTGTGTGGGAAAAGAAATAAAGGAGAGAAGGAAAAAAGGAAGGAAGGAAGGAGGGAGGGAGGCATTTACTGGTTACCCATAGCCTTAAGGATAAAAATAAAATTTCTCAGCTTAATAGACAGCTTTCTCCACATTTTACACTCTCATTGCATTGTTTTCATGAATTTCTTAAACTGTTCATTTCACTAAAACATCCCTGATAGCCAATGTTCTGCAATCTACCAGTGAACAGCTCCCTATTTTGAGGGATAGCAAATTTAAGTTAGCTCCTCAATGAAGTCTTTCTAATCACACAAGCAGAATGAACAAACCATTCTTCAGTCCTCTGAACCTTAGATATAACTTCTTTAACAGAACGTGCAGTTGTTTATGATATATTTGTTACCTTTCTTTTTTAAAATATCCTTGAGGGCAAGACTGTTTCATTCACCTTTATAATTTGGAGAATTTAACACAATTCCTGGTACATAATATAAACTTATATACCAGTAAATAAATATTTGCTGAGTGAATTTTACCAAAATGGGTCCTGAAAGTGGACAGAGACTAGTAGGACAAGCAGCACTTCATCGGATCAATCCATGCTCTGGAAGTGTGAACAGCAGGCCCTGAAGAATAATGTCTGACTAAACAGGCACTAAAAGTCATTGTTTACATGGTAAGTCCCCGATTTATGAATTATTTATGAATGATTCCATTCTGGGAACAACATTTCTACGTTGGATTCGTTTCTAATTCAATAAAGTGAGTCTTCTACAGTACATCTGTGAAAGTTTGCAACTCAAATGTTCTTAAGTTGTGGACTCAAAACTAAACCTCCAATTTCTAGCAAACCCAACTCTACTCACATTCTCTCCCTTGGTTAAAGGTGATTTCAACCATTCTGCCATTCAATTCAGGTGAAAACAAGACTGACTTTGAATTCTTGTTTCCCTAACAACTCACATTTCATGTCAACCAATCTTGTTGGCTCTACTATATTCTTTATTATGTTTTTTGTTTTTGGCCCTGCCATGTTCTGACCATTACTATCATCTCCAGTGCCTCTGCTACCACCATCTCTCTTGAGGTCAGATGCGGGTGGATGCGCCCTGCTCAGTCTGGCTTGGCCCACCCACTTGCATCCAGGAGACCTTGAGGACGACACACACACACACACACACACACCCGCCCGCAGGCATACCACCCACCAGCTTGGCCGGGCAGGCGCTTGTAACAACAGCCAACCCACACCCCCGACCTCTTGGCTGTACAGGTACCTGGTTCCACACTACAGAGGCAAAGGGGGACATAAAGGCCATTGTCCTGAGTTGCAGAAGTGGACAACAGAGAGAGAGAGGGCCTCTCTCAGGCTCCCTGATGAAAACTGAAGCCCACTGGAAAAGGGAAGAGAATCTCTGCAATATAGGCACACCACACCACCGTACTTGGTAAGTTGGAGGGATCATCACCTTCCATTAGAACCTGTAATATTTTCAGGGGAAAGACAGCTGGAACCTGTAATAGAACCTTGCAGAGTTCAACCCTGCAGGAGAACAGGGAGCTCAATTTGGGACTTGGAGCCAGAAATCTGCCTGAATCTCACGAGTCTGTGACTGGCTTACTGAAACTCATTGACTTATAACTGACAGTACCAAAAACAAAAATGAGAAGACATTTAAGCAAGGCACAAACTCAGACTTCCACCCCACAAAAGGCAATTTCTGGGGAAAACGAGGTGGAAAAGTCTCATAATCAACCACATGGACACCCTGAACTGATAGCACAGGAAGTAACAAAACAGATGAACGAGGATCTAGAAAAATTCAAAGCAGAAATAATCTCCCAGATAACTACAGAGATGGTGAGCAGAGTGAAAGACATGATTAGAGGCTCTAGAACAGAAACAGATAAAAAAAATAGATGAGCTCAGAAACATGCTCATGAATGCCCAGGATAAGAAATGGAAACCATGATCACCCAACATAAGAAAGAAATGGAATCCATGAAACAGATTCAAACAGATATTCAAGAGATTAAAAACTACACTGAAAGCATGCAGAGCAGATTAAGGGAATCTAAAGATAGAATATCAGATATAGAAGACAGGATTGAGGTTAAGGACCATGAAAACAGATTTCTTAAAGATAGTAAGGGACCATGAGAAATCAATCCAGCAGCTGCTAGATGATGCAAGGAAGAATAACATTAAGACTGATAGGAGTCCATGAAAAAAACAGGAGAAAATACAATTGACATAAAAAAACTGTTCACAGAACTAACAATAGAAAACTTCCCAGACAGAGGTGGAGAACTGGACATACAGATAAGTGAGGCATATAGAACCCCAACTAGCCATGATCAAAAAAAATCTATGTCGGGCCGGGGATTTAGCTCAGTGGTTCCGTAGCTTGCCTTGCAAGCGCAAGGACCTGAGTTCGATCCCTGGTACCAAAAAAAATCTATGCCTAGACACATAATAATCAAGATCCCAGAAACCCAACAGAAGAACAAAATTCTACAGGCAGGCAGAGAAAAGAAACAAATCACCTATAAAGGAAACCCCATCAGAATCATAGCAGATTTTTCAACATAAACCCTCAAATCAAGGAGAGCCTGGAGTCAAGTATTTCAAGCCCTAAAAGAAAATAACTTCCAACCTAGACTGTTGTATCCTGCAAAATTATCTTTCAAAATCGATGGGGAAATTAGATACTTTCATGACAAAGAACACCTGAGAAATTTCATGAACACCAAACCAGCACTCCAAACAATCCTAAGCAATATCTTAGAAAAAGACAATGAAGGTCACAACTCCATGAGGCCCAACAGAGGGCAGCCACCAGGCAAGGTAAGAAACTAAAGGGAAAGGGGAAAAAAAAAAGAAATAAAAGAACCAACAATAGTAAAACAAAATGACAAGGATGAGTCAATATCTATCAATTTTAACTATCAATGTTAATGGTCTCAATTTACCAATCAAAAGAAACAGACTGACAGAATGGATTAAGAAGCAAAATCCAGTAATATGCTTTATACAAGAAACACACCTAACTCAAAAAGAAATACATAGACTGAAAGTAAAAGGATGGAAAATGGTTCTCCACACCACAGAAACCCAGAAAAAAGCAGAGGTAGCAATCTTATTTGTAGACAAAGAAGATTTCAAACCAAAACTAATGAAGAGAGACAAAGATGGTCACTACATCCTTGTGGAGGGAACAGTCCAAGAGGAAGAGATGACAATCCTAAATATATATGCACCAAATACAAATGCCCCCAACTATACAAAACAAACATTAATGGACACGAAAAACCAAATAAGTCCTAATACAATTGTAGTGGGGGATCTTAATACCCCATTATCACAATTAGACAGATCATTTAGACAAAAAATTAACAACGAAATTCTGGAACTGACCAAGCTACTGAACAAATGGACTTAATACATATTTAGAGTGTTCCACCCCACTAAATCAGAATACACATTCTTTTCAGCTCCACATGGTTCAATCTCCAAAACAAACCACATGCTAGCTCATAGGACATGTCTGAGTAAATGTAAAACAACTGAAGTTGCCCTCTATATATTATCAGACCATAGTAGAATATAATTAGAGATCAATGACATAAACTGCAAAACTCCCACAAACACACAGAATTAAATAACACCCTTCTGAACAACCAATGGGTCACAGATGAAATTAAAGAAGAAATTAGACAGTTTCTACAAGTAAATGATAATGCCAGTACAACATACAGGAATCTATGGGATCCAATGAAAGCAGTTGTATGTGGGAAATGCTTAACACTCAATGGCCATATTAGGAAAACAGAGAGATCTCAAATAAGTAACCTAATGGAGAACATCAAACTCTTAGAAAAAGAAGAGCATAACAAACCCAAAGCTCACACGAGAGGAAATTATAAAGATCAGAGCAGAAATCAATGCAATCGAGACTAAGAGAATGATACAAAAAATTAATGAATCAAAGAGTTGGTTTTTTGAAAGAATAATAAAATCGATAAACCCTTAGCCAACCTTATCAAAAAAAGGAAAGAAAAGGCTCAAATCCATGCAATCAAGAATGAAACAGATTGGGCCGGGGATTTAGCTCACTGGTTCTGCCACCTGCCTGGCAAGTACAAGGACCCAAGTTCGATCCCCGGTACCAAAAAAAAAAAA